AGTCATAAAGATCACATAACCATACAGTAGAAAACAGTTTGTTATCTGGGTCTATCTGAAACAAGATAACTCTGTATGCTGCAATTAAGGGAAGTGGGAGACTGGCAGACAGGAAGGACCAAGAGACAGGTTTCTTAGGCAAAGTTCTAGTCAAGACCAACCAATATGCCATAGGAGGAGGTGAAGGCCAAAAAAAGACAGATAAAGAAAGAGAGCATAATCTCTCAAAAATAAAAGCTTTGTATGTACCCCTGCTGTTAGCCGAGGGTGGGGATTTAGAGGCCTAGATTCACGTTCTCTCCAGAGATCCTGTCACAATAAACTGCACATTTTTGTAGAGTCAGACAGCTGGGAGAGAATTCTCTGCTCTGAGCAATCATCTCAATCACCTCTCGAACGTCAGCCCACATGAGACCAATACAATGACACTAAATATCAATTAGAAGATTTTCTGAATGTTGCTCAGATGGCAAGATCAGAAAGCATGGATACAACTTCTCACAACTCAATATCACTATCCTGTTACATTAGCTGAGTCTCTGTTTCTCCGATTAACACTCAGTCAGTAGAAAGTGTATCCTTTAATTACCTGTAAACCCTGACAGACAGAACAGAAGGCATCTGTTCTCAGCAGAGCTGTAAGCTGGGCATCTCTGTCTGAGGACTGAGAGGCTCTGAGGTGGCAGGGACAGAGCTTGGATAGAGCACTGGCAGGGCTGGCACTGAGAGCCCTGGGAAGCAAGCCAGCATTTGCCCTTTGGCCAGGGGATTTGAGAGCTCAGTTTAACAGAGATGAGTGCTGAAAAGTCTCTCACTTCCTCTGCATCATAATATCCGACAGAGAAATTAAGACAGTGTAACTTCACAGTCCCATATTGCTGTCCAATTTGAATCTTCATGTATAATTGGTATACACTATGGTGTACTGCTCGATGCATGCAAAAATATATATATATATTTTTAACAGATATCTGTGCAGATAGGCAACACACAGCCAGATTTCCTTCAAGGTTTACCAATTATTCTTTGAACATTTAGATGCCTTTTCAATTGGCATCTATGGGATTCATCACAAGGACAAACAGAAATACCCAATGGAGTCCTAGATTTAACCATTTTCTAAGAGTGTACCCACATATTCCTGCAGCTCATATGGGCATATTGATAAGTTTAGAACTGTAACCTTATCATAGATTACATTATCACACAATCAGACATGCTTTATTAAAATATGTAGAAAAATAATGAATGTGTCTATGTCTTTGAAATATGTGACACATTTAATAAGCTCATTCAATGCATGGTCCAAAAGCCTGTTGTGAAAGCATGAATAAAAATAATAAAACAAGCTCTATATAAGCAATATTCTTCTACTGCAAGTCAACAACAACTCAAAGATGGAATTTACTAAATCATTTAACAAAAAATACATTACACAGACCAGAACACCATGCATACATCTCTAGAAGTCCAAGATGGCTGACACATTTGTTGCAAAAGCCGACTCACTCCAGTTCGGCCTCCGTCCCTTACGGAAATGCTCAACAGTTTTCGCATTCCCTTCTGAATTGCAATATCCTGATACTAAAGATACATGCTCTTCATTTGAGTGTAATACCAATGTTTGTGTTCAGTTTCCCTCTGATTAATCTGATAAAGGCACACAGAGCATGCAGGGAACTACCAGTCACAAGACCGGAGCAGACTTTTAGGCGCTTTGTCTACCAAGCACACACACACGCAAACACGCTGAGCCTAAAACTTTCAGTGCTTTCTTTAAAGGGATATGCCACAAATTTTTCAAAATTTTTGAATAAATGGCTTAGGAATAAATAAACAATCATGCAGAGTGTTTTTAAAAAATAAATAAATTAAAAAAAGAATTTGGCTCAAAAATTGCCTGCAAATTTACCAGCACAGATGTCTTTACAAAGTTTGTGACAAGACGCTCATCTCTGAGTGAAGCTACGTGCATCTTCTGAGATTTGAGATTTCTCACAAAAACAACCTGAACAATCCGAATTATTAAGTGTGGCCTGTACAAATTATTCTGTTCTCATGAAGTTTTACAGGCCTGCTGGACACGACAGGCACAGGGCGACATTCCCTTAAATAACTTTAGTGGAGTGACTTTTGCGCTGAATTTGCATTATGTCAGAATTTCACAGGGATTTTCAATCGCATTAAAAAAAAAAAAGAATATCCAATATCAACGACAAGAAGAAATAAACGTGTAGTGCGTCCGGTGTATCTGGACTATCCATGAATTTTTTTTTTAAATGTATATATATATATATATATATATATATATATATATATATATATATATATATATATATATATATATATATATATATATATATATAAGATCCATTTTCCATTAATTATTTTCCATCCATCCATTCTCCATGGAAATGCAGGCCATAATAATTTTAAATTCATGGATTATCCAGATACACTGGATGAACTACATGATTTTTTTCTTCTTGTCTTGGATATTGGATATTCTACTTGGTAAATAGCAGGTCGTGTCAGACAAGGTTATTACATTGGGTGGGTATATTTTTTAATAAATATGAAATAACTATGAAATGATAACATCATGCAAAACATGTGTGTGTGTGTGTGTGTGTATATATATATACATATATATATATATATATATATATATATATATATATATATATATATATATATGTGTGTGTGTGTGTGTGTGTGTGTGTGTGTGTGTGTGTGTTATTATGATACTTGGCTATATATTTCACGACTTCTAAACCACACATAAGGACAATAGACCTGAACATAACTGATATACATAGCCAGATTCTACCAGCATATTGCTTTTCCAAAAGACCATCACGAGCACAACCATTTAATATTAAGATCACAAAAAACCATAAAGATAATACTAACACATGGACATACAGTATGCATACAGGGCGCTTGATGGGATACACATTAGTTACAAATTGACCTGCATTAGTTCAACAACACCACAGCAATCATAAAACTCATCTTTTGGGGGGGGGTTTTGTTTGTTTTGTTTTTTGTTTGTTTGTTTTTTGCCCCAAAATTTCTCACCAAGGACATTAATGCATATGAACATGCAGGTGACAGCAGTTTCGTGCGTCACTGCGGCGCGTGAGCAGTAAATGGACACCCACAGACCAGTACAACTTTATTTAGAGTGAAAGACTGGTACTATTTACTATTAAGCCTCGAATGCACACACATCAATGAGCGATCAGCTTTACACAGCCTAAGCAAACTTGTATCGGTGACACACAGGACCATTCTAAAAGGTGTTCGTGTAGAAGCAGTCCAATATCGCAGGAGCAGGTGTTGGTAGGCTAATCCTTCCACTCTACTGTGGTGTCTATGATCTGCGCATATGGAATCGCTTTCTTTCAAGAGATCGAACATTAAGCTATAGCATTTCGACTTGCGCGCACAGCTGTTAATAAACCTCTTACAGACTGTATAGCTGAGTGCATGAGACGCAGCGCGTGTTTCGGGGCAAGCTCATCAACTCACCTTTTCTTGTCTTTCTCGGCTGTCATCTTACAGAAGTTACCAATCCCTCACACACTCGCTGTTCCAGCAATTTCTCAGAAATTCACATGCATACAAACACACACGCGCGCACGCACACACACACACACACACACACACAAGCGCGCGCACTTCGGTCGCGTCGATATTTTTGACAGTCACAAACAATAACTCCTATACGCGCAGGTTCGGTCTAAACAACAAACCCCCAACAACAACAAAAAAGTTTGTTTGTTTTTTTTAGTTAAAAAAATAAATACATCAAATCCATTCCGGATTAAAATGTGGTAGGAAGCGAGACTATACAGTCTCAGAACACTGCCGAGGATCGTATAGCCTTCCTCCCAGTTAATCACAGGTAAAATCCGAGGATTCCGGTTGGCACTGAAATGACAACGTCGCGCTTTCACCGGTTTGAAAAAGTGTGAAGAACTTTGTACCTCTTCTGCGCACACACTCTCACACACACGCAACCATTGCGCTCCGCTCAGCTGGTCGGCTGCCAGCAGGGAGATTAATCAGAGCATCGAGATTGGTCAGTTTGCTCGCTAAGACCCGCCCACCACTTCATGCACACACAATCTGACAGCTATTAGCGCCAAAGAGTTCCATACTGTGGGGAGAAAAATATATTTAGACGTTTAGTGGTCATTCCAGAAAGTACTGTGAGTGTCATGTTGCCCTCTGCGTTTTGTTTTTGTTTTATTCTTTTAGACTGCTTAAAACATTGTAAAGAAATAGGCTATAATTCAGATTTGTTTTATTTATGATAATTCAGTCATTACCACCATTTGTCTAACCTCATGACTATAATAGAAAGCATCAATAAATGTATCCTTATTATTTATAAATAACATTCTTCATTAAAAAAAAGAAAAAAGAAAAAGAAAAAATCATACAGTGAACAGTCTTCAGGGGTATTTACCTAACTTTTTCGCCAGTGTGAAATGCTGAGGATATTTTCAGCAAAGCGAAGGTACACATCATACACATTTCTCACTTTTGGAGAGCTTCTGTGCTCTGGACATCATATTTTTCATGTTCACCCGTCTTGATAGCTGGAACTGATAGAGAAGTAGCTTCTTTTCTTCTTCGCAAAAAATTGGGATTGATTCAGCATCACTTTGCTGTCATGTTGTTTTGTTTTGTGTGTTTTAAAGACCCTTTTGAATATCCATCCATCCATTTTCTATACCACTTATCCTACAAGGCCACAGAGAACCTGGAGCCTATCACAGGGCACTTAGGGTACAAGGCGCGGTACATCCTATACAGGGTGCCAATCCATTGCAGGGCACAATCACATACACATACACATTCATACACTATGGACACTTTGGATATGCCAATCGGCCTACAACGTATATCTCTGCACTGGGGGAGGAAACCGGAGTACCTGGAGGAAACCCCCGAAGCACAAGGAGAACATGCAAGCTCCGCACACACAGGGCCATGGCGGGAATTGAACCCCCAACCCTCTAGATGTGAGGCAAATGTGCTAACCACTAAACCTCTGTCTGCCCTCCCTTGTGAATACATTAATAATAATCCATCCATTCATCCATCTTCAACCGCTTATTCCTTCTTCAGGGTTGCAGGGAACCCGGAGCCCATCCCAGGAAGCATCGGGCACGAGGCGGGGTACACCCTGGACAGGGTGCCAGTCCATCGCAGGGCACAATCACATACACACTCACACACCCATTCATACACTACGGACAATTGACACACGCCAATCAACCTACCATGCATGTCTCTGGACAGGGGGAGGAAACCGGAGTAATCCCCCGCAGCACAGGGAGAACATGCAAACTCCGCACACACATGGCCCCGGCGGGAAACGAGCCCCGGACCCTGGAGGTGTGAGACAATCGTGCTAACAAATTATTATTATTAATTATTATCCTTATTTTTGCCTGTACAGTTTCATATAAATGGGTCAGAATGTGATTGCCAGCATATCAATCATCATATGAGACTCTGAACACATTTTGACCCCGTACTGGTCAAAACTCACTCATGTGCTAGTTGTCTTTTTCCACCACAGCTGTACAGCCTGTGTACAAGGGGGTTGGACAACAGTCCTTTTTCTTCTGGTTGCATCTCTCTGTTGTGGTGAATGGGTGTGTTCCACTGTAGCAACTAACAGCTTATTGCTGCAGGGTTTTTGTGGAATGCCCCACAGCCAGATTTTTCAGCAGAGTATTTGTCATTAACCTGTAGCTGTAGCGGCATGAAGGAGAACCAGTTGCTAAGGTATAACATGATTCATATTCCCTGTTATTGGGCCAAATTGTCACTAGCACCATCATAAGAAGATAATATCTATTGGTTTAGTGGTTAGAGCACAGCTCTGTCATGCTCAGATGACCTACATTTATGACAGTGGTTCTCAGCAGTTAGGACTCTGGACTACTGATCGGAAGATTGTGAGTTTCAATTGCAGCACTGCCAATCTGTCACAGCTGGGTCCGTGAACAGGTTTTTGAGCAACCCGCATCTCCTCTGCTCAGTTTACTTCTAAGTTGCTTTGGATAAAAAGTGTTTGCCAAACGAATAAATATAAATGTATGGGTCTAGTTTACATTCTTTGTATAGAAAATCAAATCCTGGATCTTTGTCTATAAAGTGATGCGTGGAAATTCACTTGCCTGAACAGAGTCACTCATAAGGGTCTACATTCCATCCCAATCATTATAATTTTTGAGTGAACACCACCTGGCTGATAAAATGTTGGAAGACTCTTTTCATTTGATGTAGAGTCGAATCCTTCCTTAGAACAGGTCTAAGTATTGTATGTATTATCAAGACATAGCTTTTCTGCAAATGTAATGGCAATGTATTTTTACACATTAATTATATCATGTTGTAGAAACCCTGTTGTCACTGAAATAGATCTTTGTTGAAAGCATGGTTGTAGTTGGTTCACATAGGAGTTTGTACACTGTTACACTTGCTCAACTGCTACAACTGCTCTGGCTCTGGACAGTGATGTTGAGCAGGTTGACAACAAATAGAGAGTATGTGTATTTGTATATATATAGGTGTAATAGGTGACAGGAATAACATTGATTATGTCATTACATTCAACCTGTCAAGGTGTGAGATATATTGGGCAGCACGTGAACAGTCAGTTCTCAAAGTTGATGTGTTGGAAGCAGGAGAAATTGGGCAAGCGTAAGGATCTTAATGACTCTGACAAGGGCCAAATTGTGATGGTTAGATGACTGGATCAGAGCATCTCCAAAACAGCAGGTCTAGTGGGGTGTTCCTGATATGTAGTGGTTAGTACCTACCAAAACAGGAAGGACAACTGGTGAACTGGCTACAGGGTCATGGGTGCTCAAGGTGCATTGATGCCTGTAGGGAGTGAAGTCTAGCTATTTTGTCAGATTGCTGAAAAATTTAAGAAAAAGTCAATGCTGGTTATGATAGAAAGGTGCCAGAACACATAAGTGCATCACAGCTTGCTGTGTATGGAGCTGTGTAGCAGCAAACCAGTCAGAGTGCCCACGCTGACCCCTGTCCACCACCAAAAGCACCTACAATGGGCACATGGGCATCAGAACTGGACCACGGAGCAATGGAATAAGGTGGCCTGGTCTGATCGCATTGTCTTTTACATCATGTGGATAGCCGGATCTGTTGTGTATGTCGCTGACCTGGGGAATAAATGGTAACAAGATGCAGTATGAGAAAAAGGCAAGCCAGTGGAGACAGTGTGATACTCTGGCTAATGTTATGCTGGGAAACCTTGGGTCCTGGCATTCATGTGGACCTTCAGAGGTCTTGTGGAGTCCATGCCTTGATGGGTGAGAGCTGTTTTTGTTCCACAAGGGGGATGCACACAATATTAGACGGGTAGTTTTAATGTTATGGCTGATCAGTGTGTGTGTGTATTTATGGTGGAGGCCCTCAGGGAAGAACTGCTGCTGTTTTGGTTAGAAACAATTTTTAAAGTCATTACATACCATGAAACTAAATGTTACTGCATTAATATGTTCTGAATAATAATGACATGTATTTAATAATGAATATTTAAATATACTTTCTTAGAAGCTTGTACATTTGATTATTTATTTATTACCTATTATTGTCTATTTTACGCCTCAGCTATTAACATGAGTACATAGGGCAGTATAAAGGACAATCAGGCCAAATGTGAAGCCTCCAGTGCCCAAGCATCTAACAAATAATTCTGATCATTCAACTCAGGAAGTGGGGACTGTGTGACATTTCTCATGCCTCAGGATGTTTGAGACCTCTGTTGAAATGGTTACGTTTGACAAGGACAGTTCTTCACTTCGGTCATTGTGACCCACAAACACAAATTAACATTTTAAGAATTTCCCTTCTGTGCTTCCATGTTATACAATGCTTTATAAAATCTTCTGAAATTGTAAAACACGATTATAATCTAAACTGTTTATAATTTTACACACAAACACGCACACACACACATATGCACGCACGCACGCACACACACACACACACACATTTACCTTGTTAGTTATCATAATGGATAGGTAAAATTTAAGCTACAAAACAGCAAATTGCTACATAACTAGTGTTAACCGTTAACGACAACTACATGTGAGCTACAATGGGCTAGCAGTTGCTCCTAAAACCCAGCAAGGAGAGTTGGCAAAATTGTCTTTTCAGATATTGGTGACTAAAACAAAGATTTACCTGGTGACTGGCTGGTGTGGTCTCTGGTTGCATTCATATGGTCACACTGGCATATGATTAAAGCTCATCATTTTTTGACACAGATACTCTACATTTCCAACACTATTTAATTTGTAAAAAATTTAGTTGGTCTTCTTCTGACACAACACTAGATCTGTTATAAGCTCAACTTCTTAGTTAATGTGGAAAGCTAAGAAAGCTAAGCTAGCTGTGCTTGGCTCTTTTGTGACTTCCTGGATGAGTCGTTGCTGTGCTCTTGGAGGAATTTTGGAAGGTCGGCCACTTCTGGGAAGGTTCAATACTGTGCAGAGATAATGGCTCTCACTGTGGTTCTTTGGAGTCCCAGAGCCTTTGAAATATCTTTGTAACCCTTCTCAGACTGATGCATTTCAATCACCTTCTTCTTCATCATTGCTGGAATTTATTTCAGCTTTGGCACAGTGTGTTATTTTCACCAACTTAATGCTGTTGATAAAGTAATTTTTTAAATGAACCCCATTATGAATGTAGTTTCATAGATCTGGGGAATTAGCAACTACGGGGGCAAATACATTTTCACACAGGTGCAGTTGGTATTGGATAATTTTTTTGCTTCAATAAATAACTATCATTTTAAAACTGTATTCTGTGTTTACTCAGGTTGCCTTTGTTATCTTAGATTTTGTTTTAATTCCTGAAACAATTTAGTATGAGATATACACAAACACAGAATAATTTAGGATGGGGCAAATACTTTTTCAGAGCGCTGTACGTATGTTGTGTAACAGAGGAACATTCGCTTGTCTCATGATTGATCCTAACTCAGACTCAGATTCTTTCAAATTTTCAAGTCACTACTTTCCAGGAAAATAAATAATAATAATAAAAAGGTATTTTAATGTTCACAATGGACACAGCAATACTGAACTAGATGTATTTTAGTCAGTTGATTTATGCACCAGATCTATGCTTCTTTTTGATGTGAATGAGTGTGTATCAGTATTAAACACACTAGTCTTTACAAGTGGAACAATGACTGTAGTTTTAAGACCATCTTATTTAATAGGCTCCAAAACAAACAATCCACATTCACATCTTTTGAGTACAGTACATTTGGCACAGTAATATGCGTACAAGAAACATGTCAATGATGAAAGGCCAGAGGAAAAAAAAAAAGTTTTTTCAAAAGTTATGTGACACACTGTACAGTTTCACAACACAATACAATGAAAGAAAATGCTTACATTTGTATGATACTTACAGTGATATAATACACATAACTTACATAAATTTGCACTGTATCTCTGTTTTTACATACATAATACGCAATCAGACAGAGATCAATTTGCCTTTTCCCAAGAGGTACTTCATGTAGACATGTATATATGCTTAATTTTGCTATTTTGTTTGTACTTGTTAATGTGTACAACAGCCCAAACATGATTCCTATTTAGAGTTATCTGTATATATAAAACATTTATCATAACATTTTAAAACATGTAACACTCTAGACAGAGTTGGCAAGGAATTCGTGAGGACTCTTTTGCAGGAGTGACGTGAAAGCAGCAGCAAAACAATGTAAAGACACACAAACTGACAGCCCACTGATGAACCACATGCTATTTTATTACTGTATGTGTCACAAAGGAAGAGTATGACTAAACCTAGTCTGGGTGTTGTAGTGGGAGTCTTTACCATGGCACAAAAAAAAGAAATCTTCACAAGAAACCTCAAAATAAAATATCTGAAAACGACGACTGAGCTTTGCAATAAAATAGTAAATAAGAAGTTAGTAAGTAAGAAATGCTGTGATTTAAACACTTCTATAATCTCTAGCAACTATTTTTGTG